TTTACAAAATGCCCTTGAAACACGGGATTATATATTCTTCTTTTTTGAATAAAATGTAATATTTATTCGAAAAAATACGACTAGTGCTATTTTTGTTTAGACAGTTAGCATGTTACAAAACGAATAGGTTGAAACGATTTTGAAACTAAACTTAGATGCTATTTCGAGGCAAAACAAGTAAACATGCATCTTCTAAACTTGTCATCTCCTCGATCTAGCCGAACTACAAGGCTCTACGGACTTTGTCATCAAACATCTACAAATCTAGACACTCTACGGACAGTTCTTGTCGCTGTGTGTCGAATCACTAATTGGATCATGTGGAGGGATTCATCGCACATTACGTTCTTCAGATTTTGGTTTAGTCTATTTGGAAGGAGAGAAACGACTGTCGGCATGGGACTGGTCCAAAATTTAGCAAACAAGTTTGGAAAGATAAACAGATTTGAAATCAACTAACGACAATAAAAGTCAGTGGGGATAAGCGATTTGACAAAGGGCTACAACTTTGATTTGGGGGCTTTTAGTTTCGTTAGTGGTTAAAAGATGTTGTTTTGTTAAGAAATTAACATTTTCGTTTGGGATAGATAGAAGTAGCTCACGGATAGTGAATCCCGTTTTTGACATTCTAACAAAGACTTCACGCCATGACTAAAACGGCGTGGTCAACAGAAGTTTTGTATTTAACAGAATAGTCAACATAAACTATGTGATTAAAATAATATTTTGAAAGTTCATGATTAAATCATCCCAAATTTAAAAATTCTGGACTTTTATGAAATTTTCCCAATTTTCTCATAGCAAGTTTGATTTCAAACTATGAAAGTAACAAAATGGGTTAAACTAAATCAAAGTCACAAAGTTAAAGTGTTTACCTGGCATATTCTATTTACAATGTCCATTTGTCATATATTCATAGGTCAAGCTAAGTTACCATATTTTAATATATTTTTTTCATTTTCTAGAATACAAGTTACATGTTTTTAGTAACAACTAAAAAAATTGAGGATTAAAAACAAAAATCTGCATTCTTATATTTGTTGATTATTCATCCAAAATTAAAGGGGGGGGGGGACTTTCTCCATCGTAAAAAAATAAGAACTAATGTAATAACCATCTACACCGAGTAATAATGGTGCAAATGGTTGCACAATTTAAGAGGTTGAAAAAAATTATTCAACTAGTTTTTACCATTTGAGTTGAAGAGGTTGGAAAAATTATTCAACCCGTTCAACTTAACAAATTGAAAAAATGAACTAATTATACAGGGAATTTTTTCAACTCATTCATCTCCTATTTTGCAGATGAATGGATTGAATGTTATTCAACCTTTTATATTCAACTTATTTTTTTTCAACTCCTTCATTTTTGTGCAATGTTTTTGAAAATGTTGAATGCATAAGCCGTCAACTATAAGACGATCTGATCTATCTTTTAATTCATCAATTAATAGTCTCATACCAATTAACTAACCATGCCGAATTAAACTAATGATAACTAGTAGAAAATCAAACAATTAAACCAACAATAAACCAACTCTAATCCAAAAATGAATAAATAAACAATTCAATGTCCATTAATCCTAACATGTTTCTAATTCCAAATAACCAATATAAATAAAACACATAACAATCACCATCGATCCTAGGTCATGACACTCCAATCTGCACTACCGCCAATGTCAGCTTCTGCAACTTGGGACGATTCAACTTGATATGCGCCGCCTCACTGCAATGGTAGCACAACCGAGAGTCACTCATCATCCCGCTCTTCTTGGAAAAACTCGCCAGTCTATTATCTTGTTACTATAGCCATAGTACCCGCGAACACTCTGGCCACCTCCCGAAGTGCCTTCTCACATCCTCTTATGCCCTTTGAGCCGGCTTACCGCCTTTGTTTGGGACCACCTACTGATGTGCCCTCCTCAGCTGAACAGCTCGACTAGCAACCACAATATGCTCTCTCAGATCCTCCTCAATCCCCAGTGCAATCTCCCCTAACTCCACCATTGTTGCGTAAGTCTTGGCTTTGCAGTGGGACTTCAAATCAGGTTGAAACCCCTTCATGAACCTCCGCACCTAGATCTGCTCCTCGTCCCCAACCCGACCAGCTTGAAAAATGGCATTTTTAAAAAGAAAAGGTAAAAAATGGCAGTTCTAAAAGAATGAGTTTTGCAAATAGTATTTTATATTAAACTAGTCGGTTGCCCGCGTTACGCGCGGGAGTTTATTACATTTTTTATGAGTAATTGGTTCGTATTTTATTTTCTACTTAAATTTTTCACTATACCATACTTTTTTTTAACTTAGATTATGTTTGTATAGAAAACCTATTGAGTTTTAACTTCATTAGTTGTTGAACAATTAAGTGTGTATAGTATAAGGCGAAGTGTGAGTGTAAACGGAAGTGCGGTGGAGAATCATTGAGAAACTCATAAACATGTGCTATTAGGGTTTTTACCAGATATAAATATAGATGTTAATATTGTGGGCCTTTTTAATATGTTGGCCCGAAATTTGAAAATGATTTGTGGGTTTTGGTTGAATTGTTGTATTTTTTATTGTTTACATTATCTCTTTATATATTGTCATAAGTTTTTTGTACATTTTTTTTGGATTTGACGTAATTTATATCTCGTTATGATCATTTTTATACTATTATATATTTGTTTCTGATTTTATGTTTTATATATATTTCGTTTTTTCATATGAAACAATTTTTAAATTTAACATATTAGTATAATTTACTTTATATTTGGTTCATTTCATTTAATATTGTTTATTTATTTTAATTTTTAATTTTTATTAAATATAGTTAACTTTTTATTTTTTTATTAGTTTAACATATGTGTTGTATTAGAAAATATTAGTTAAAATTCATATTGGAAACCTTTATATAATTTTTTGATTTTTTTTTACCTTTTTATACGTTTTTAAAAAATGATAATTCATGTTTCGTTCCTACCTATCTCATTTAAGTTGGAAAATTTTGTGAGACATAAATTAGATAGATTTATATACTCAAAATTTCTTACTTTTTGTTCTATTCCCGTTAAATCTCATTATAATTTAGGTTTAAATTGTGTAAATATTATCGAATTTTGTGTCATATTATTTTTAATTGATATATATATATATATATTTTAAACACTTAAAAACTATAATCAATTATTTATATATTTGTTAGTATAATCGATAATTAATAAGTTTTTTTAACTTTTTAATCAATTATCTTTTTTAGTTTTATAATGTATAATATAAGAAAAGACTTTTCATATTCCTTTTTGGAAAACTTATTTACATAGGTCTAAATCTTAAAATTAAATGATAAAATGATATAATTAATTTTAAAATTAAATAATAAAATGAGGTGGATGATGATTAGGATGATGATGTGGCTTAAGGAGAAGAGAGGAAAAGCTAACTTTATATATATAGATTCCTATAATGCAATCCGTATATATAGTGGCTGAGGTAGTGAAGAAACAATGTGTGTCACATAACTGGGAAAATAACCAAAATGAGCATAGACTATTTGCTGGAGGTTTTTTATATCTAAACTATTACCTGGCAAATAGCAACCTAAACTTACTAAAAATTTAAATCCTCAACCTAAACTATATGAAATTAGCTAAAATCCCATATGTCAAAATTGTGTTAGTTAATTGTTTAACGGTGATAAGTTAACCGGCACTGTAGAAATAACAGAGCATCAGAGTTCGGTAATTTGACGTCGTTTCTTGAGTTTAGGGTTATCGGAATCGAAAATCGCTAAAGCACACACTCATCGAATCTTCGAGTTGAGAACCCTAAAATCATTAAACGACTTCGTTTTACTCAACTCCAATATCCCGTTATTGCCATAGTGTCGGCTGACTCATCGTCGTTAAGTATTTAATTAACACCGTTTCACCATATGTTGATAATGGCTAATTTCATATAGTTGAGGCTGAAAATTTGAATTTTTAATAAATTCAGTTTGCTATTTACCGGGTATCGTAGTTTGGTACAAAAAAAAGTCGCCAGCAAATAGTCTAAAGTTTATTTTAGCGATTTTCCAGTCATTGTTGACGTTTCCTTCACTTCAATACGTGATACTAACCCACAGTATACCGGGGACGGAACTCTTTTTTTTTTGAACAAAGGACTGAACTCTTTATTTGATATAAATTTATAATAAATTATTTTGTTACTATTTAATTGAATATTTATGTACTCCATGTTTGTATATCTAAACAAACAATATCTCAACATTGACTATTTGCGATATTATTTATAATTTATATATTATTGATTTTATATATTTAATTTGTTTGATTATTAGTTTAATTATCTTGATTAGCCTCATTATTTTTTTTGCATTTTATACATCTTCTGACAATATTTCAATGTAAATTCTTATAATTTATAAAGTTATTTTTATTTGTGTACTTCTCAATTAATACAGTAGTATATGTCTCACAAACTCTCATTTTCTTCTATGTGTATCCACAAATTTCTTGTTATATATATATATATATTTTTTAACATATATATCTATATTTCTGTATATAAATGCTACTTGATTTTCTTCTATTTTACGTTTATATTTGTTTTTTCACCTCCTCGATTGATTTTATAACTTATCTTCGGTTGTTCAAGCCTATGATCATTTTTATATATGCATTGGGTTATTAAAAATATAACAATCTAACGGTCCAATAGCACCTCATTTAGTTCTTAATTACATCAATCCTATCACACACAATATAAGAAAATTTGGTTAACAAATCTCCAAAACGATATGTCGAAGAAAGCAATAAATCTCAGATCTCACTAAAGAACATAATACAAGTCAACTTCTAAACTCAAATCATCAATCATCATCATACAATAATTTCATTCCATGTGCGCTCCATTACCATTTTCTTTTCACTCTCTTTTTTTTTAATTGAAAATAAAAACATATCATTATAAGTAGCTCTTGTATACTACGCACATCATCAACTAAAACCATCTAAAAATATATCTTTGGTTTTAGAACTTGTAAACTCATTCTAAAGCCATTCTAAAGCCATTCTAAAGCCATGAAGAAGATCGAGTTAGGGCACCATAACGAGGCGGCTAAGCCGGACTGTATCAAAGCCCTCATTGTTGAATTTATCACCACCTTTCTCTTTGTCTTCGCCGGAGTCGGATCTGCCATGGCCACCGGTATATTAACATCCATGCTCTTTGTTACACTTTTGATAATACCATGCTAATACATAGTTTTCTAAAGCTCTAACAAACCAAGTCGCTTAAATTGTGAAACCAAGATGCACTTCAATATATTTACAACATTTTTATTGTATTCATGATTTAGATAGTCTAGTCGGAAACACATTGGTTGGACTTTTCGCGGTCGCGGTGGCTCATGCATTTGTTGTGGCTGTAATGATATCTGCCGGTCACATCTCCGGTGGCCATCTCAACCCTGCCGTCACCCTTGGCCTACTTTTGGGTGGCCATATTAGTGTCTTCCGTGCATTCCTCTATTGGATTGATCAGTTGTTGGCTTCCTCTGCAGCCTGCTTCCTCCTCAGTTACCTCACCGGTGGAATGGTACGGAATCTAACTAGCTTAATACGGGATTATTAAAGAAAAAGTCTTTTTTGGCTAACTATTTTTTATTTTTTCATTTTCCCATTTTTTTTCAAATATACCATTTTTTTTAAATCAAAAAACTAAATATTTGATAAATTATTTTCTTAAAACACATACTTAATAAAAATACTATACCCTACAAGAAAATAGAACCAAATCAACCCAAACATCATGTATAAAATTGTATTTTTGTATAAAAGAAAATGACAAATTTGAAAGTTTTTTTTGAGAAAATGACGAAATCTATAAATCCCCCTAAAATAAGTCCTTATCTCATAATTGATCCAGTTTAATAGACCAAAATTGAAAGAAAAGAAATTGTTAGTCAACAACTTTGAACGTTATTAAAAGTATAGTAATGCAAAAAAATATGATCCAATTAACAATTTTTTTCTCATTCAATAATACACAAGTTCTAATATATTGGTAGAGATTTTATTAAATTTAAGATCTTTATCTAATTAAATTTGTTAAACCATTTAGTTAATTATATACACTTCACAATGTTTTTTTTTCCGGCATGTTCGATGTATTATTAGTTTTGACATTTTATAATTACGCTTTGTGATTAGGCAACTCCGGTTCACACATTAGCGAGTGGAATGAGCTACACTCAAGGGATCATATGGGAGATCATCTTAACATTTTCACTTCTCTTCACTGTCTACGCAACTATGGTTGATCCCAAGAAGGGATCTCTTGATGGGTTAGGTCCACTTCTCACAGGATTCGTCGTGGGAGCCAACATCCTTGCGGGTGGCGCCTTTTCTGGCGCCTCGATGAACCCCGCCCGGTCTTTTGGTCCGGCATTGGTCTCTGGAAACTGGACTGACCATTGGGTATATTGGGTTGGACCGTTGATTGGCGGTGGACTTGCCGGTTTCATCTACGAGAACGTCCTCATCGACCGTCCAAATGTCCCAATCGCTGACGATGAGCAACCATTGTTGGAGTAAATGTGATTTTAATAATGTATGCACGTTACAGACCTTTAAGATGTTTAATTTGATCGTCACAACTCCTTTTTCTTTTTGTTCTTTAAGATGTATTGAAGATGTTGTGTTGACTGGTTTTATAAGGCGCTTGTATTAAACAACTCAATCATCAAGGGAGAGATTGAAGATGTTGTGTTGACTGGTTTTATAAGGCGCTTGGATTATAAAACTCAATCATCACAACATCCTCAATCTCTCCCTTGATGATTGAGTTGTTTAATCCAAACGCCTTATAAAACCAGTCAATACAACAATCTTCAATACATCTTAAAGATTTCGATTTCACTAGAACAAGAAAGCAAATACAACCAATTTGCAAACGCGTAAATCAAGCACACCCCTCTTGAACTACCGTTCTGAACTATAACATCAAACCTTAAGGATAAATCTCTATCCTTAACTAAACTCCCCCTGAATCTAGATTTAACCAAGATAACCTAATCTTGGGCTAAACTCCACCTGAGCCTAGACTTCAATACTCCAAGTCTCTGGAGCAACCTTCACACACACGTCACACTGACGAACAAAGAAGCTTGATCACACAAGCACCAAACCGCGAAACTAAGCCGCACACAAAACCGGAAGAAAGCTCTCAAAGATTATTCTTTTTGCTTCTGCTCTCTTGCTTCTCTAGGACGTGCCTAGCACCTCTATATATAGCCACCATGATTCCCAAATCACATAAGAGAACTTTTCCAAATCTCATGAGGAAAAGCCTTTTTCTCCTTTTTGCTCTTTTCCTTTTCCTAGTCAAACTCCAATTCTCCCAAGCTTAAAATAGTTATTTTCCCTTTTCATTCATCCTTCAATCATGTCTTCTTAAGTATTCTAGAACCCAAGCACACACATAAATCACAACATCCTGAATCACGTCATGTATTAGTCAGCCACTGCATCAGACAAAAACCTTGCATCTACATTCTCCCCCTTTTTGACTATGGTTGTGAACTCAACAATCTCACTCCAAAATAACATCGCCAAGAACATCACCATTCTCCCCCAAACTTGAGTCACAACATGGTCAAAAACTAATTGGGAAATACTCCCCGCTTTGTAAAACGAGGTCCATAACCTAATGCACCATCTCCATATAACTCATCTTTCCTAACCCAAATCTTCTTGCACCTTATCCTTTCATAGTTGGATTCTCTAATGAATCTGAAGCAGTTCCTCTTAATATGCCCTCTAACTCCACAATGATAGCATGTTGGAACATGAAAACTCACATTATAAGCTTTCTTCATTTGATTCTTCTCCCTCATTAATCTGAAACACCTTGGCCTAATATGCCCAACAACACCACAATGATAACAAGTGGGACGAAAAATTCTTGGAGGTCCACTCTGCAATTTAAAATTTTTAGTTCCAATATCCTGAACAACTGCAGTCTCTGATGCAGACTCTGTCTTAGCTGCAGTTTCTGACACAGTTCCTGATGCAGACGTGACTTTTCCACCATAAACAAATACCGGATCTTCTTTTGAAGGTTTTCCTGTAAAACCAAGGCCATATCTATCCATTTTGCCAATATTCAAAATCTCATCCAACTGCTTTGTGCCATTATTAAGCATCCTCAAATTCTTTTGAGTTTCTTCAAGTTGTACTTTAGCTTGTGATGCTTCTTCTTCTTTCTCTGATGCATATCTCTCTGCTTCAACAACTTTTGCTTCTAACTTGAGCTTCTCCTTAGTCAAAACTGAATTCTCCTCAACTACTTTAAGCCAATGTTCATACAACATCTCATACTTCTCAGCAAGTTCTTCATCATCAAAACTCTCTGCATCACTATCACTCTCTGTTTCAGACTTTGCTGTATTTGCAGATTCAGATGCAGTTGCAGGTTTTGCTGCTGATTCAGACGCAGTTGCAGGTTTTCCTGCAGATTCTGACGCAGTTGCAGACTCTAATTCAGAACTATCTTCGAACGTTGTAAACACCACCAGGTTTAGCAGTTCTTCTTCATCTTCTGAATTAGTTTCATAATCATCACTAGCAATATTCATAGCCTTCTTATTATGCTTCTGTAGATTGGCACAATCTGAACGAACATGTCCATACCCTTTGCATTCAAAGCATTGTATTTTCTTTACTGAACATTTCACATTCTTCTTCACTCCTTCAGCTTCATATGATTTGCTTAACTCAAAAGCTTTAAGAATCCCAACAAACTCATCAAAAGCCATCTCATCAAGATTACTAATAAACGCTTGCACACGAACCTTCCAATATCCATAATTAGCTGAATCAAGCAACGGTGGTTTTCTCATAGACATGCCTTTTTTATATAACTTCATCACAAACAAATCTCAGCTCTGACTTACGTCCTGAACTACTATCCTCACCCTTGATCTACTCGAAACAAGACTGAATCTCTATCAAGAACCCGCTCTGATACCAATTGTAAGTGCGGATGAGGCAATAATATAGTGCAGAAAATAAATGAGACACAAAGTTTGTTAACGAGGTTCGGTTTTTCCTACTCCCCGGGACCAAGTCCAGATTTCATTAACTAGAAAAGTCCACAACCTACAATTGCTATATGGAATCCACCAACTCTTTCCTAGAATTACAATGAAAGAAGACTACCACTAATTGTCTTTTCCGACTAGTGTAGTTCTTCTACAAAACCATCAAAAGATCTCTTTATCTTGTTGATGGGGCGACGCCACACACCTTGTGTGCATCTTCTCGAGAATACCCTGAGGCGCGCAAGTCTTCATGAAGCGCCCTCTTGGTATTTATAACAATTGCCCAACCCTAAAGATTGACAATTTTCCTATTCCTTCACCAAATAGGAATTGACTAATTTCCTTTGTTCTTTATAGATAAGGAAATTTGCCTTTCACGTTCTCATCTTGAATATACTATTCAAGATGTTCATCCAGCTCAGCAACCGCCACTTGGCTTGTCCAAGTCGGTCCCAAACTTATGTTCTCCAACTCTTCAAGTAGTCACACAGCTCAGCTTCTTGTACTGCTTCCTGTACTACTTCAAGTATTCGCACAACTCACCTTCTTGTACTACTTCTTGTATTGACGTCAGAACTAGTACAAGCACTGCTTCATCTTCTATGACAATTCTATCCAATCACTTCATGTATCATCGTAATATGTTGACATGTTAAGATAGCTTATAAAACTCATTCAACACCACATCTTCATGTATCTCTTGTAACCTTAATCTATCTATTCCAGTAATTGAATTTATAAACTCTCCGATTATATAAAGTTCATTATAATTTATACTGCACCCTGCTTGCTTTCTTATACCCCAATGAATATTTCATTTACTCTCTAACTTGACTACACATTAACCCAATTGTTTGAATCTGCATGTACGTCTTATCATATATTATTAGATGCATGCAAGCTAAGTCAGCCAAGTTCAAAGGTTCTTGTATGTTCTAGATGCGTGAGGCTTCATGGGCATTTGCTGAACGATACTACGTTTTTAAGTTACCTGCGCGAGCATACAGATCTACTCTTAATGGTTCAAGAAGTTGAAAGCAATTAGCACAAGACACAAAACAAAATTTAAACTCTCCAATATAACCTAATATGCATAAAAGAAGAAACTAGTATATTTTTTCAAATGATTCCTTTATGTTTTTGAAAATAAAATAAAAATCCTTCTATAAAATAGTATAAAATAGTTGACAAAAACAAATTGCTACCTACAAAAAGTATAATACAACAGTGAGACCCAATACAGCCCTTAGCTACACTAATTAAACCATAAGTGGCATGTGTGTACATTTGTATATAGCGTCGTCATCATCGAAAAACCTTGAGAAACATAACCAAATCTCGATTTAAAGCCACCATCATTGAGGTCGGAACTACTGTTTGTGATCAATTGATCATTGGTTATCTTCGCACTACAAGACTTGTAAGCTCTGGAACCAATCAATCCCAAAACATGTTTGCTTCTGCTGGTGGAAACTTGGGGAATGCAACATTCTCATGCATGGTAAACCCATAAATCTCACATATCACACTGAGAGGCCAAGAATAATGCTTCTTGTTGAGAAAGAATCTCAGAGTTTCTTCACTCTCCTTTGGAACTTCAGGGTCGTTATATGTGAGACGACATGTGACAGGGAACTTATACACAAACTTCAAATGTGTAGTGATCATGAAGATTCTACCATGTGTTTATGCTTCTAGTTCACAGACACAGGGTGATGAGGATACAAATGATACATAAGATGAGGGTTCAGAGGATACAACAGAAGATGCTACAAAGGAGCATGAGCAACGCTCAAACTGTTTAAGGTTCAGCAATAATATGATCGGATGAAAATTATTATGCAATATTACAATGAGACACAAACAAATTGGGAGGTACACAGTTTCCCTTTAACTCGGACCAACCTAACTAATTTAAATCCCCAAAAAATGATAAGTATCATAGATGCATTCTAAAAATTAAACCAAAAAAAATATCAAATTTTCTGGTTTCATTCTTTCTCTTTTCCCGCTTTAGAAACATATTTTCATTTTTCTCGGGGGAGTGAAACCTTTTACAAAATGGAAAAGAAGAAAGAATTGAACCGGAAAAGTTGATATTTTCTTGGTTATATTTTCAAAAGGCATCTATGATACTTACAATTTGTTTGGGGTTTGAATTAGTTAGGTAGATCTAAGTTAGAGGGAAGCTATGTACGCCCCCCCCCCCCCAATTGGTATGTGTCTCACTGTGGTTTTACATAATGATTTTCATTCGTTCCTATTATTGCTGAACATTAAACACTTGACAGTTGGTCTTCCTCCTTCTTAGCATCTTTTGCTGTTTACTCTGAAACCTCATCTTTTGTATCCTCATCACCATGCGTCTGCGAACCATAAGCACAAACACATGGTCAAATCTTCATTGGTCACTACACGTATCCGAAGTTTGTGTATGAGTTCCTTACTACATGTCATCTCACATATAACGATCCCGCAGTTCCAAAGGCGAGTAAAGAAACTCTGACATTCTTCCTCAACAAGAAGCATTATTCCTAGCCTCTCAGTGAGATATGTAAGATTTATGGGCTTACCATGCATAAAGATGTTTCATTTCCCAAGTTTTCAGCAGTAGATGCAAACACATTTTGGGGATTGATTGATTTTGGATCTTACAAGTCTCGTAGCGCGAAGATAACCTAGATCAGGACCTTAGTTTTATGTTGTGCAACATTGGTTTCGTTTAGGTAAGGCATGTTGGAACTTGCTTTGAATAAGTGATATTGATCACTTTCCGGTGGAGTTTTAGGTGAAGACGTTCATCAGAATGACCGGTTCTTAGCCATGATGGAATCGTTGTCGTAAGCTCTACATAGTGGTGTTTTAAAATGTAAAAAGAAGAGTTCATTTTAATGAGAAATTGAGGTCCGAAGTTGCTAGTTAGATAGCACTTTGTAGGTAGAATTTTTTTGAACTATGTTGTTGACTTATTCAACAAATATCTCCTTGTGTTTATTTTGTAACAACCTGATTAAGTCTCATTCGTTAAGGTCGGTAGAAATTTAGACGTTAGAAAATTAATTTTCATAACACTCGTGTCCTCCACTTTTTGGCATAGACGTTGAGTTTGGGCTATATGAGGATGTTTTCATCCTTACTAGTCCCTGTTCGTTGCTGTTCTTTCTTGTTTAAGAGGTGAGTGCAGGACCTAGGGTTATCTGAGCTGTTTGATTCATGTTTTGGTGATTTCTATGATTGTTGATTGATTTCCCTTGGTTGTATGCGTGTTTCATGTGTTATGGTACCTCTGGACGAGCCTTATGGAGTGGTTACACGGTCTTGGAAGGCTTGGAAAAGGCGGATCCGTTGATGAGAAGCGACTGGAGTGATGTTAGGGCATCGGTGTCGCTCGACACCAGTGGTGGGTGTCGATCGACACCAATTTTCTTTCTCACAAGGATGGTCGCGAGTGTCGAGCGACACCAGCGGATTGTGTGGTTATTGTTATGGTCTATTATGATTATTATATGTTGCTTGAATGTGAATTATGCAGCTTGTGTGTATAGTCTGTTGTGGGGATAAATGCCTCACTAAGTATTTATGAAATACTTATGCATCTCTTTTATATGATGCATGTAAAGGAAAAGTGTGATCCGTAGAATCATGGCGAGGAGAGGAGGATGATATAGGCGCTCATTGGTGTTTTAGATTATTGTTGGAATTGTTAGGGTGTTAGAACGGACTTTAGAAGCATGTTAGGGTGTTTATGTTCTGGAATAATGTTTTGCTAAACTGGCTGGTTTAGCTGATTTAACTCGTTTACAATTAATTGGGTTAATCCGGTCTGCATGTTAAAAAAAAAAAAAACGGGATGGGTTCTTTCACCCGGTCTCGTCTTCATATGACAAATCTTGAATAATGTTTCTAATGTCTTCGTTTGAGTCACTAGTGATCCTATAATTGTGTAAAAGTTTTCGATTATGTTTAATGATCTTGCTCCCTCCACGTATCAATTATGTAGCATATGTTCTCATTATATGAGAAGCTTATAGAAAAGAACATCTGAAATTGCTTGAGAGCATAAAGATTGATACAAACATTTATTCATTATTGAAAAGATAGAGAGTAGAAGACTTATAACCTTCTACACGCATACACAAGTACGAGCACGAGAGTATTAACATTGTTGTCACATACATGGTAATTGTTGGATACATGGAAAACAACAGTGTAAATCTCCATTCACCCGTGGTATTTTTATGCTTGACTAGGCAATTTCAACTGCATTCACCGAACCCTTGGTGCAGACAGTAGAACATGCGTTAGCACATTTCTCAACTGCTCCACTTACGATTTCACTTGCATCTAGTCATCAAAACAAAATTTGAACGGCTTAGTCTTTTTCAATTTACTAAATTATAAAAAAATTGTTATAGTGTTAAATAAAAAGTTTGAGAATTTTGCTTTACCAGAGTTCTGGAGAGTGGTTAAGCCACCACATACAGAGGATACACACCCCAACTTGCAGTAAGCATCGACAGTATTACCTTGAGACAAAAAAAAAAAAAAAAAAAAAAAAAAACACATCAAACAAATGAAATCTCTATTCGTCTTGTAACAAACGTAATATCTCGCAATAGTAATCAATGTACCTGTGTTTTCGAGAGTGTCATGCGTATATCCATTAGGACATTTTGTCCCACTAATGTTTTTGCAGCCACTGAGGCTTGCACATACTGGCCTAGGAGATCCAGCAAAACGGCAAGTATTATAGATGTTTCTAGCAGTGGTGGATGGACAGCAGCTCTTAGCGTTGATTTGCGCTATGAACAAACTCATTACGAGCACACTTAGAACCAAAGTTTTCCCTTCCATTCTTCCGATTGATAAGTTGTTTGATCTCAAAATATAATGTATGTGGAGAGTTAAGCTTGTAGGTGATGATGATACGGTGATGAAACAAGGCTCCCTTAAATACTAGTAGGTCTAGAATTTGCAACCACAAACTTGATTTAGTCCCTCCTTGAGTCACGTTCTCTAATAGACTCTCTACACGTTGCATGGTCCACCTTATCACAATGGCTGCTACCTTTCACATCCGGGATATTGCTACCCTTCACGTCCGGGAAAAGACCTCTTAAAATTTTGTGTTACATAATATTTGCATTTACTATTCCGTGTTATATTTGCTGGTTAATGTTTGATTTTTGGGTTATATTTTTTCATGTTCGTGCTAACCTCTTAGAATTTTCTGTCAGTGAACGTGCGATATGAGGCGATGAATCGCTTTGCTTATATCTTGTGTGATGCTTGATCTAAGAAGATTACTGCATGGTTCGATCTAGACTGTGTAAGAATACGAACAAGCAAAGAAGTAATGAAAGGTTTAGTTGGACGTTGGTACTTTGTACATACACTTTGTTATAAATTCAAGATATTTATGAGTAGTCTGTCTATAAAGTTTGTATAAATTCTTGAGAAAATATTTTGGATTTGAAACGTGAGATTTTAATGTGATATGTTACACTGTTAAATTTATAATCTCGAAGAATATATCATTAAGAAGCGTACGTATGAGGAGATTGAGAATTGAAAGATAAGAGTGTTGTTTGTTACAAATGTGTTTTGTGTTTCTTTATTTTGTTTCTAACAAACTTCTTGTAGTTTATGTAGAGGTCCGAGATAATGACAAATCGATCATACAAAAATCCAAAACGTTTGTTACAAACGTGTTTTTTTAAAGTTGTGTCTCAATATTATGTTGGGACAAAATAAAAAAGATTAATGCTTGTTGTCGTATTTATTCTCTGATTCATTTATTTTTCAACCACACATTCCATTACAAGATTACTCTCTTTCAATGGGGTTGGCTACTATGAAGATGAGTTCTTGAATCTTAATTTTGATCTAGAGAACGAGAATATAAACTAGATCTTAAATATGTTTTTTTAGTCGAATCATTTGATTATGAAAAAGGTCCCAAAAAAGATAAACTAGATCATTTAGAAAGACACTTGACTGATTCTTATTTCAAATTATGGATTATCTATATTAAGTGATAATCTCGTTAAGAATGTTTATAAAATAGTCAAATAATAAAACCAATCCAAACGCTCTACAACTGTATATTCAACCAATCCCGGTTAGTTCAATAATCCCGCCAAGCTGACGTGGCAACGGTAGGCCTCTCGTGCCAACAAAGCATTTAACTCTTTTTGACGTTTCGCCACGTGGAACCCTCTGACTTGTGCTTTCTCCACTAAAACACTCAGCTTGAAAATAAACGAATTGGCTCAACGGAACCATCCTCATCCCCGCCGCACAGAACGCTTCTTGCCACATCATCATCTCTCCTTCTCTTTTATCCGCAGCCGCTTCAACCGCAGACGCGATTTTAGGTCGCAACAAAAACGCTTCTATGATTTTGTTCACCAAATCACCACCTCCCGGAGAAGCAACGGCGGCGGGTTGCCTACTACGAAGATGAGTTCTTGAAACTTATGATCTTGAAATATAAAGTATAGAAAAAGTAAAAAAGGTGTCTTGGACATTGACATTTATCCCTCATAAGCTCGTATTGTGTCATCTACATTTTAGTAGACGTTTCCAGCCATGAAGAAGCATCAGAGTAATTTGACAAAGAATCAAATTAAATCCTCAACACCAAAGCATCAGAGTGTCCATTTCCTATGAAAAAATATTGGTTGATCCTCTATTCTTGGTAGCATATGAAGAGCTTGTTTAAATAGGGAGAAAATAATAATTTGTAAAGAACGATTGTAGACATATATTGTATTTAGTCGGAAGCTTTTTTTTTTTTTCCAAATTAGGTCCAAATTAGTAATATATTTGTGACTTCAATGTTTGAGCCATATCAATTTTTTACACATTAAACTGAGAGATGTTGTTTATAGCTCTAACATTAGCTAGTGATGGTAAAATCATATGTATATTTCTTTTTTTGTTTTTATGATTTGTAATCAATTGTGTATTTTTTTTATCTAAATAATTTTTAGTTTTCGAAGTCTAATTGATAAACTTGACTCGTGTCACGATCACGTGGAATTATAACTTCTTCTACCAAACTTTATATTATAAGATGTCTTAGCAAAGAAATTCTCAGCTCTCCTTTATTATGATACCAACCTTTGTTAATATGTTTTTTTTTTTTAAACTTATAAAACAGTATAAATACTATCAAATCATCAAAACTACCAATCCCCAGTCTCATCTTCATACGACAAATCTTGAAATAATGGTTCTAATGTCTTCGTTTGAGTCACTTGTGATCCTATAATTGTGTAAAAGTTTCATGGCATGCGCGGGTTTTCTTTCAACTCCTCGTATCAATTATGTAGCATATGTTCTCGTTATATGTTTCTTTGTCTTCTCATTTTGAGATGATCAATCAATTCAATAAACAATCTCTCTCTACGTTAAGTAAGAGTGTAACGACATACCAACGTTCGTTTGATTATGTCATCAAATGTAACGATACGGTTTCGCCAAGATTGTATCCATCTGGTCATAAAACCTCCCCACTACATGAGCTAGTTCGAGTTTTAAGGAAAAATATCAAATCTCTTCACTGTGTATCTATTTCTATTCTTTCTTATTTGTAAATTTAAATCGTTATAATTATTGGATTTCGCGATCATAGAGTCTTAACCCAAACTAAATCAGCAATAATGATTTAATCCTTTGTACAACAGTTAACTAAGAGTAGAACAAGATATGAACTAACTTCTTTGAACCACATTACATCCCGCAGTGTGGCGGGTCTTTTGAACATATAGATCCCATGATACAAGTTACCTCTAGGGGTGTCGAACAAGAGACTTTCGAGGAGTTAAAGGGAACCTAACCACTGGACTACAAAAAAGTTTTTAAATCTGATGCCCTTAAATCTATTTATTTATTATGATGCCTAAAGCTTTTGCTTGCTCAACTTTAGTTTCGGGCCAGGCCTAGATACAACCATAGTGAAATCATATCACTACAATTGATGACGAAATCAAACAAACGTTAGTAAGTCATTACATTCTTGAGACACTTACTTTTGAGAAAGATATGAGATAAAGAGAAAAAGGGATTTTTATCAAAATAATCGCTTATACAAATGAGAAGCAATGGCCATAGCTTTATATATTAAGGTTCCGAATGGTAACTGCGTTTTTCACTGTGGGAAAAGTGCGGTGCGATTCAAATAGTAACAAAAATACATAAATATATATGTATATTCAGATATTTTGACACTGTTACAACACTGTTGTAGTGCGGTTTTATAGTACGGCATTATTACCATTCAGAGCCTAAATAAATCTCAACACCACCTTTAATAGGAGAATAGGGGGGTTATTGGGAGAATGATTTTTAAAGATTGTTAGAGTCTAAGATTCTATTTTTATTGGTTTATGGATTCTTAAATTCTTAATAAAGTCTTTTGTTATTGGTTCTGAAAAGCATTATTCCAATTTAATTGACGTAAATTGATTTTGTAGTTACAGAAGTCAATATTAAATGTGGTATTTGTTGATTTAACAAACAAATTAAACCAAAATATCCTAGAAAATTAGAATAATTTTGCGGCCTATAAGCCCATTTTCCATATCTCAAATCCCAAATACATCCCATGTGTAGTTGAGTTTTTCTAAAAGAGTTCGTGGATTTCAAAATTTTAGAGATTTATATTCTCAAAAAATTTTGAAGATTCAAAACAAATGTTTGCCCAGAATCTTCATATGATAGATTTTACAATACTTATGATAACTGCAGTATTATGGAAGTTGTTTTTAATGACTAAATATATAGGAAATCATTCCCAATAACACTGTAATTTGATAGAATTGGAAAATCAATAAGAACTCAACTTTTTGAATAACGAAGGATTTTAAATGGAATTACAAAATACATACACCAATAACAAAAGATTTTAGTAAGAATATAAGGGGGTTATTGGATCATTGATTTTGATGGATTTGGAAATCCAAACAAAAATCCTATGTTATTCAATCATTGATTTTAAAATAACTATCAAAATCATGTCTTATTGGTTGTATGATTTATAAATACTAGTTAAAATCATATGTTATTCGTTTAGTGATTTGTTTTCGGATTTTAAAATCAGCAGTATGTTTTAAATGAATTTGAAATAATTTGATAGTGTAAAATAGAAGGATTCAAATCCAAGGATAAAACATGTTATTTCAAAATCCATGTATTTTGATTTCATAAATAATAAGGATTCACAAATTCTAGGTGGATTTACAAATCCATAAACCAATAACCCCCCTAAAGAATCCATAAACCAATAACAATAAAATCTTAAACTCTAAAAATCTTTAAAAAATCATTCTCCCAATAACTCCCAATGTACTTAGGTTATTTGAATTACAAGCTTTCAAAGCTACATACTTCAAACACTCATTTCTCATTTAAACTAACTTTGTTTTGGCACTATAATACACCACCATGTAGTGTTGGACGATTCCATAATAGAAATGGTCATTCTGATGAATGTCTTACTCGGAAAATCCACCGAAAGTAATCGAAATCACTTCGTCAAAAAACAAGTTCCAACATAATCAAGAACAATCAGCCAATGAAGAAGATATTGCCCCTTCATTAATTCTCAAACTTGATTAATGGATATTAGAGAAGAACAGCTTGGGAAGAAAACATAGAAATGAAGAAGTTATGAATTTTAGAAAGAAGCAATTATGATTTTATTAGTGTTAGGGGCCACAATGTTAGTGTATTTAAGGGTTGGGTAAAACTAAGGTTATAACCTAATGGAAAAATATACCGTATATCATGAAATATTATCTGTTCAGAACACTTGCTTAAACCTTAGCTTATACGTTGCAACACTTAAGAGAGATAAGGTGCTTAAGCGGCTGATCGAATAAATGAACGAAAACTATTTTGAATATTTTTTGGTAATGAGATCTGTTCAGAACACTTACTTGACACTCTAACTCCGTCGGACATGAGGAGAAACTATAGTCACTATTTGACATTGTTCTTTGTTAAATTAGGTTTTGTTATGAGCTTCCAACTCAAAACTAATTGGCAATGAGCCTAATCCCTTATATATTAAGGAAGTTTCCTCACATCTTCCGATGTGGGATCATTTCTTGGGAGATGGAGGACCGGAGATCGGTTGAGAGATCGACGGTCGAGATGATTGCTCAAGAATATGTAAATTATGAAGATGTGAAAGAATCTAGATCCTCTTATTTAGGATATTTACCTTTATGTAGAAATGTATTATTTACATTAGTCATTATCTCAGTTTATGAAATTAGGTTTATTCCGATTACTATATATATCGATGTATTATGTAACATTATTTTTATGAGAGTCTAATACAATTCTTCCGTTAAACATTTTTGTGTTCTTTACTCTCATCAATTTATCATTGTATCAGAGCCTTGATCCTATTCCTATGGGTTAGGGTTTCTCGTTTGCTTTCGCTTCTATAATTTTCTATTGGTTTTTCTTTCTTTTGTTTTGATTTTTCTCTATCTATTGATTTGTTCAGTTTGATGTTTTCTTCGCCCTCGCGATTAACATCCTTTTATATTCTAACTTCTTATTCTCGTGACTTATTTTCGCAATCGCGAATTATTCATAAACATCGCAAACGCGAGTTTTGTCCCTTTCTACTTGAAGAGCCCTACGATCGGGTATAAACGTCGTTAATGATCCGACGGTCGGATTTTACAGCCGCTTTGACCCCACGACCGGGTATAAACGTCGATGATGACTCGACGGCCGAGTATAAAGCCGTTATTTTGAAGACTTGTCCAATCTCACACGTGTTACCACATATGAGCTTGCCGGGGGTATTGGGAGATGGAGAACCGGAGATCGGTTGAGAGATCGACGGTCGAGATGATTGCTCAAGAATATGTAAATTATGAAGATGTGAAAGAATCTAGATCCTCTTATTTAGGATATTTACCTTTATGTAGAAATGTATTATTTATATTAGTCATTATCTCAGTTTATGAAATTAGGTTTATTCCGATTACTATATATATCGATGTATTATGTAACATTATTTTTATGAGAGTCTAATACAATTCTTCCGTTAAAGATTTTTGTGTTCTTTACTCTCATCAATTTATCATGATATCAGAGCCTTGATCCTATTCCTATGGGTTAGGGTTTCTCGTTTGCTTTCGCTTCTATAATTTTCTATTGGTTTTTCTTTCTTTTGTTTTGATTTTTCTCTATCTATTGATTTGTTCAGTTTGATGTTTTCTTCGCCCTCGCGATTAACATCCTTTTATATTCTGACTTCTTATTCTCGTGACTTATTTTCGCAATCGCGAATTATTCATAAACATCGCAAACGCGAGTTTTGTCCCTTTCTACTTGAAGAACCCTACGATCGGGTATAAACGTCGTTAATGATCCGACGGTCGGATTTTACAGCCGCTTTGACCCCACGACCGGGTATAAACGTTGATGATGACTCGACGGCCGAGTATAAAGCCGTTATTTTGAAGACTTGTCCAATCTCACACGTGTTACCACATATGAGCTTGTCGGGGGTATTGGGAGATGGAGAACCGGAGATCGGTTGAGAGATCGACGGTCGAGATGATTGCTCAAGAATATGTAAATTATGAAGATGTGAAAGAATCTAGATCCTCTTATTTAGGATATTTACCTTTATGTAGAAATGTATTATTTACATTAGTCATTATCTCAGTTTATGAAATTAGGTTTATTCCGATTACTATATATATCGATGTATTATGTAACATTATTTTTATGAGAGTCTAATACAATTCTTCCGTTAAACATTTTTGTGTTCTTTACTCTCATCAATTTATCATGGTATCAGAGCCTTGATCCTATTCCTATGGGTTAGGGTTTCTCGTTTGCTTTCGCTTCTATAATTTTCTATTGGTTTTTCTTTCTTTTGTTTTGATTTTTCTCTATCTATTGATTTGTTCAGTTTGATGTTTTCTTCGCCCTCGCGATTAACATCCTTTTATATTCTGACTTCTTATTCTCGTGACTTATTTTCGCAATCGCGAATTATTCATAAACATCGCAAACGCGAGTTTTGAAGAACCCTACGATCCGATCGTAACGATCGGGTATAAACGTCGTTAATGATCCGACGGTCTGATTTTACAGCCGCTTTGACCCCACGACCGGGTATAAACGTCGATGATGACTCGACGGCCGAGTATAAAGCCGTTATTTTGAAGACTTGTCCAATCTCACACGTGTTACCACATATGAGCTTGCCGGGGGTATTGGGAGATGGAGAACCAGAGATCGGTTGAGAGATCGACGGTCGAGATGATTGCTCAAGAATATGTAAATTATGAAGATGTGAAAGAATCTAGATCCTCTTATTTAGGATATTTACCTTTATGTAGAAATGTATTATTTACATTAGTCATTATCTCAGTTTATGAAATTAGGTTTATTCCGATTACTATATATATCGATGTATTATGTAACATTATTTTTATGAGAGTCTAATACAATTCTTCCGTTAAACACTTTTGTGTTCTTTACTCTCATCAATTTATGTGGAGAAAAGATCCCACATCGGAAGATGTGAGGGGACTTCAGTAATATATAAGGGATTAGGGCCAATCCACTCATTGCCAATTGGCTTTGAGTTGGAAGCCCATAACAAACCCTAATTTAACATGGTATCAGAGCCCAAACACACGCTGACCCATTAATTAATCCAGCCCGGAAAGAGGCCCGATCACCCATTAATTGATGGCCCAAAAGAAGGCCCAATTCCATTGAGATAGCTAGAAGAGCATTATCTCGAGGGTGCGTGATGGATTTTGTCGAGATTAATGGCTAAAAGAGGCATTATCTCGAGGGAGTGTGTGGAGAAAAGATCCTACATCGGAAGATGTGAGGGGACTTCAGTAATATATAAGGGATTAGGGTCAATCCACTCATTGCCAATTGGTTTTGAGTTGGAAGCCCATAACAAACCCTAATTTAACATTCTTTCGTCCACTTCTTACTAAAAATCCAACAACTGAATTATAAACAACTAAATCAAATAGACAAAAGAACCACAATTATTAGTAGAATTAATATGACATATCCATGTTATATACGTTTGTCTTACCTAATCAAAAACTGTGAAAACGTGACGATCATTACACTTCTCCACTTACACTAGTGTAATAAAACACAACCACGATTGTTGATAGTTGAGATCGTCAATGAGGTATCAAGTCTAAGTTTGAGGTCGAACGAGAGAACACTTCTTATATTAATCAGGGACCGGCGAGTACAAGTTATAAAGGGAAGGAAATCCTATCGGCACTACAAGATTAAGACTACAAGTCGAGCTCTCTGCTATACTCACTGTTCCACTCTCAATACACCTATGTCTTGTCACATCAAGTTTCTCTCCTTTTATCGGTGATGGGACAACTCGCCGCATTAAATCGGTTTCACGTGGGTCTACCATAGTAGGCCGAGCAATGAATGGACCGTTGCTGAGCTTCGTTCCTTGTCTTCTTGTGATGTCGACGCCATGTCATTTCTCTGGCTGGGCCAAGCGCAAAACAGTGGAGGGATCCTCGTGGGCCGAGGCCCATATCTAACAACAATCACAAACAGTAGCTCCGATGGAAGATGACGGTGGCTTGTATTTCTCAATGTTAAAATTGATTATGACCAATGAGAAAGGGCTGTGGTGACGATGACACTTTTATACGTTCACGTCATTTAGGTTTTAATTAAGGTAGCTGGGTCTTTAGTGGACCGGATTGGATCTTATACCAGCACATTTAAACTTAATACGAATAATTTAATTTGAATTGTTACATAAGTGATGTGACCAACACTATAACCATTATTATTATTATTATTTATTTTTATTATTATGTTTGGAAATATATATTTTGAATAAATTAGTTTTTCGATGAAAAAGATATAAGACAATCTTTCTGTTTATATAGAAGTGGGTATCTTCAATTAACTGTATATTTTCGTTAATTATCATTTTTTTCTAGAAATACCAACTTAAAATTGCGTTAAACAATAACTTAAAATTGCGTTAAATATAACTCAAAATTTTTAGCAAGCTAAAAAATATTAGAATTTGAAATTTTGTAAAAATATATATATGCTTTCCTTATAAATTAAATATGTGTCACCATCACATGTTTATTAATTTAACAAACCAAACTTTATATAATAAGATATTTTGAAATCTATTGAACAAAAAAATTGAGGCTTTTAGTCGTTAATTCCCCTTCACAAACATTAAATCACAAAGGTCAATAGAATTTGACACACTATAAATATTTCGTAAACAATACCCCACACTACCTCTCCTATATATACGTCCCTACACACACACACACTATATAGTATGGAAGTCATTGCAACCAAGAAACATCAAAATGACTCTCGTTTATAACACCGACACACCAAAATTGTCTCATTATTTTTTGCCTAACAACTAACTCTTTATTCTACACTTTGATACACAAATTTTCCAAACAAGCTGACATAAAAAAACGAGAGAGGGAGATAGAGAACAATGGGTGGTTCTCATGGTTCCGACATGGACTGTTCCTCGACCAAGAAGAGAAAAGAGAAAGCCAAAGAAACAGTGGTATATCGCGGTGCCCGTATGAGGAGCTGGGGGAAATGGGTCTCGGAGATTCGAGAACCGCGTAAAAAATCAAGAATCTGGCTCGGGACTTTCCCTACGGCCGAGATGGCAGCGCGTGCTCACGATGTCGCGGCATTGAGTATCAAAGGAAACTCCGCGATCCTCAACTTCCCTGAGCTCGCGGAGTTTTTGCCGCGGCCCATCTCGATGAGTCCACAGGACATCCAGGCCGCGGCCACGAAAGCCGCTCTTATGGATTTCGAAACTGGACCCTTTCATCTCCAAGATAAAACTAGTCACACTAGTTGTGAGACTGAGAAGATTGAAAAGGGGTCGTCCTCGTCCGCATCCTCGGCTTCTATGCTTTCGGAGGAGCTAGGAGAAATCGTGGAGTTGCCTATTCTTGATAACAATGTAAGAAACGATTTTGCGCTGTTCGACTCGTTGGAGGGGATAGGGTCGATGCCCCAATGGTTAGATGCTACCAAAGATGATTTTACGTACGGAGATGATTCGATACTATTGGACCCACTTCTTCAAGAAAGCTTTTTGTGGAATTATGAGTAAAGACTTCTTTTTGTAAATAAATAAAATATTTTTTTTTTTGGTTTTCTCCTATTTTTTTTTTTTTTTACAATTTCGGTATTTTTGACCACATCTATAGATCTATTTTTGTTTCAAGCTATATATGTACTATGTCATTTGAAAACAATGATTTGGTTTTGGTATGTAAAGAGGAGTTATGTAAATAACAATATGAGCTTGCTATTTATTTCAAAACATGTAATTATTTGGGGTAAAAATAATTTGTAGTAATGTAAAATGTAATCATTAATTATACAACACTACAAAAAAACCAGGTCTATTATGAAGTTATTTTAGACGAAAATTATTAGTCACTAATTTGGGACGAAATAGTAACAATGTTGTGACTATATTTTCTTTTGTCACATAACTGTAGGCAATTTGTCGCAAAATTATGACTGATTAGATCATGACTAAATATTGTAATAATTTGTAACATAAATATGACGATAATTTTATCGTAAAATTAAGACAATTAAATATTTAAGAGTGTTACCATCATTTGAGAACTGGTAGAGTAAATGCATGTAACACTTGCATGTTGAGCATATGCTATAATCAATCATTTAGAAAGTTATAAGTACATATATGGTAACTTGTTAGAAAGCAATGTAACATGTGCGAAGAACGATGTTTTTATCTATATAGCCACACGTACCGTTCAACACTTCACTATTTAACGTTCGCTAGATTTCTAATCATCGATGGTGTACTGTGCACCAACATCGTTTTCAACTACACTTTTGTTTTAACACCATTGAACAAAGGAAACATGTTTAACCCAAAGAAATTAAAAAATCACATCAACAAGTCTATAACGAGTTGTAACCCCTATTTAAAAAATCCCCACCTAAGTCCGATTACACCCCGTGTAATCACTAGACCCACTTTATCCATTTTGATTAATGACTAATCCCCGCCTAAACCTTTTTGTCAGTTATTAAATATTTATACTGAGAGTTTGTGATGTTTAACAATATTTTACGTTCAAAATTTTAATGAAAAACATAAATTTGGCTTTAAAATTATGATTTTGATATATTTACTACAATTTTGAAACCAATATTATAGTTTTGTATGTTATACTGTGTTTTTTCATAGCCAGAAGTCGAATTATACATATAACTAATACCATATATTTATTATTTGTATTTATTTAATAAAATAACCTAAAACTAATCCTCGATAAATCCTCGCGTAATCCCCGATTTTCTTGCTAGGCGCTAGGTCCACCTCAATCGCCCGACTAACGCCTAGAGATTGTAACACATATATTTATATACAATTTTGAACAAAATATTTATTCAAAAAAAAAACTATTTATATACAATTATATATACCATGGTAGATATATATGAGCCACTTACTTTTTCAAAACAAAAAAAAATCCATAGAGGGGTAGATATGAGATCTAGCTACCAAGAACCATATCGTCCTAGTGTTTGTTTCCTCCACAGTACCACATTGTGGGATATTTTTGGAACTTATCTCTCAGTGTCATAATTGGTATGAAAGTGACCTCAAGAAAAGGAACCAATTGAGGCAATTCTTGGAACAGCTGTATAAATAACAATTCGTTTTGCAATGATTGATAGAAACTAGCTAGCTAGTTTAACAAAAAGTTTGTCAATGAATGTTTAAGGAATAGTCGTTGGCCTTGTTGGGTTTTAGTGCTTTGCCAAATTTGTATAAGGCATGGAAACGTCACGTATGCATGAATAAAGTTTTAAATTCCATGTGCATTATTATTGCTTATAAGTATTTTTCTAAGGTTGAAAAATTCGAATAAAAGAAGATAAAGACGTTACATTTCAAATTGTTAATTGGTTAGATCATATCACTCATGAGCATGTCCCCTCTAGTGGGCTACGATTTTCTTTTATAGTCATTTTCAGTCATTTCTTAAGAATTTTAGTTTTAATGTTTCAATAATTTGTATAAATTTTCTTTTATAGTCATATATATGTATATATAGGAATGTTAGGTTAAGGTCAAGAATCGACAATAGAGCTCAAATCCTTCAACTAAATTTTTTGTTTCAAAAAGCATACTACAAGAATCATGCATGCATTATGCATAGTCATAACAATAAAAATTGATCAATATATTTTTTATTAAGAAATTCACAATACAAAATATGCTAATCCAAAGTGATTATTGAATTTAGTGATTATATTTCAAACCATCAAAAAGCACAGTCTTAAAATTTCAACAATTAAAATTAGAAGGTTTGCTTAATCTATTTTAGTTTATGGTTGTGAAAGAAGAGGGTGCATTGAGATTTCCACAGCGAATACAAATTGGTTAACTATCGTGTTAATTAGATGGCAAGTATAAGTCACAAATTAAATGTAAAAACTTTATTTTATTTTTTTCCTTTTCAACCATCTATATATACATTTTTAAGTACATTTTGTGCTAAAATCATTTTATTTAATTGATTTCCCATAAAATATGTCTTAAACACTATTAATCTCAAATCATTAAAATTAATTCCGTAAATATATATTTCCGGTCGCTTTAAAATTAAAATTTATAATCCGAAATCACAAATCGGATCCTCATTTATTATTATCTTAATCGAAACAAAAAAATATTACAATATATTGAAGATATGGTAATATTTTGTTTAAACAAAAAAGAATATAAACCAATATAATTTTGACTACGGATCTTTTCATATTTCTGTAAAAAGAATGATTAACTAAAAATTTACTTGATTAGTAGTTCGAACAAGAGAAATAGTATTTACACAAATAACTTTCAAATTGAACGATCTAGAAGAGCGATGAAAACAATCCCTTTCTAAGTTACAAGATATTTTAGATAATGAGAAGTGAAGAAAGGAGTCAAAGTACACCCAAAAATCGTCTAGGAGAACGTAGAAAGTTGTTCATTCCTAAGATTCTCCCACCATCGCGACTTACTTTGAACAATCTTATTCAAAAGTCTGACAATTGATTTTTTGTAAGGATATTTTCCATAACTCATAATAAAGATTCCATCTCCGATTGATGGGGGGAGGGGGATGAGTTTCCTCTATGAGTTTCCTCTATGACATTCCAGAATTATAGTCTAACCTTCACCTCCGAAATACCACCAACAAAGACCTCTAAAAGGGTCTGGGGTTTTCTACAAATCTTCGATTCAACAATAAAGAGTACGCGAAGAGGTAGTAGATAAGGTTTCCAACAAGTCATTCAATTCTTCCGCCTTGGATTAAGTTTCTTCCCATAACACTTGTTCACTAAGAGCCTGACTGAAAATGTCTAATGGCTTTGATTGTACTCCTTAATCTGAACATCTTTTTATTCATGTCTTTCTATAAAATCCACATAATCCAAGGATAACAATGTTTTTTCTTTCTTTCCTCTACATGAGATACCACACTCCAAAATAACTAATTACATATTTGAGTACATTGAGGTATAAGGGAAATTTCCAAGATGTAAAGAATTGTAAGCAATTCCCATGTTTTATGCGATTGAGGATTTTTTAATAGCGTGTGATTAATTGTCTCAACTTCTAATTCACATCTTTTACACAAAGTGTCACATTTTGAAACCTATTATGCACTAAGAAACTAGTTACCATGAGAGAACCCATAGCAGTTTGCCAGATAAAACTCTTTTTCTTTTTTAATATAAAAACACCATGTCCGATTGGGAATTGATAACTGATAATATTCACAAATCTCATTTTCTGTTGTGGTGGAGGTAAAGGTAATTGTGATCTGGTGTAACAGTGGACCGTGCATGTTAGTGACATAAGTGGCCAAATGTTTTTTTTTAAAAAAATCTCTTCTAATGCACCACTATATTTGAGGTTTGATAACAAATCTTTGGCAGATTAATAATAAGTATTTCTTTAATTTTTGCATAAATATATAGCTAATTAAAGTAAACAAAAAATAGGGACAATTTTTACGTTTCTCTCACTGTTCATTTTGTCTAAAAATCTGTATCTCTCTCTACAACAAGCTGTGTGAGTTCCCCGCAACTAATTGGGAGACCGAAATTCTAGTATGAAAAAATCATTATTATTCAAGACTTCTCTACTGATATGTTTCCACATATTCTTGGAAGTATAATTCTTCTTCGTCCATCCACTTATATTTTGACTATAAGATTATATAATCTTTTTATGGTAATGATAATATATGTTTTATCAATATATGTTTTAAAGTATTATTTTATATTCGGTAATTTTTTTATTAACATGATTTTGTTATAACCGTTATACATGAACATATAATACAATAAACGTGCAAATATTTATTTTAGTTATACTACAAAATATTTGCATCACCAATTCCAGAGTTACTTATATAAATGACATAAATCTAGTTTGCATTAATTATAACTGATGCAAATGTACAAAATAACGATAAAAACAACTGCGTTTTTGTAGTGATGGATCACAATTGTTTCATAGATTTGGTATTCAATAGATTTTAATACAGATAAATTTGGCACACTATCACCTCGATCACAATAATCTCTCGGTTTTTCCCTACTTGCTATATAAAAACTAAATCACAAGTTTTAAGCTAAACCCTTTTTTCTATTTGGTGATCTCAAAAAATTCTATCTAGTTTTAATGTTTAGTATATATAGTTATGTTATTCACTTTTATTTTAGAGTTGGTTTACTGAATCTTCTTTCAAAAAGAGAGAAAACTTTTTAATTTTGTATAAGTATCTAATTAAGTAATATATAATTGACTTGAAGTTATTGTAATTCTCAAGGTATCAATTGTTTCTTCCTGCTATATGATTTTCTATAAATTCCTTTTTTTTTTGTTTTAATGTGAAGATAAATTCCTTATTTATAATATATCATTTAGAAATTTTCAGTTATATTCATCTTGGACATTAAAGTAAAGGGTTTTGATTTATGATGCTCATTAGGTTAATAGTATATGTGAAAATATGCGTCTCGTCAACTTCAACCGTCTTGTATTCTGATTACCTTTTTCACAAT